TATGAAAATTCAGAACATCTGACGGGGTGGGGGGAAGCAAGCACAAAGCCCATGAGATTAAATAAACTTGGTGCGTCTGAGCACCAGCATGGATGATACTTAATGATCTAAGGACACAGTGTTTGGATATGGGGGAGGAAAGGTGGGCAGGAGCCAGGTGGTAAGGAACTGATATTCTGCAGATTATGGTAGGAACTTGGATCCTATTCTAAACTGGGCACTTGCCTACCCACTGGTCTTAAAGCCACAGTTGCCCTAATCTAATAAGTCACATCTAAATCCACTAATATGGATGAGCTTTTCCAGGGAAAGGTGAGGAATGAGAAGTGACTAGAACATGGGAACCTAATACATTAGTTAGCTATTGGTGCATAACAATCACAAAACTTAACAGCGTAAAACAACAAATATTGATTTTATGGGTTCCTGTGAGTCAGGAATCTGGTCATGGCCTACTTGGGTCCTCTGGCTCAGGGTCTCTCACCAAGTTGCAGACAAGGCATCAGCTGGGGCTGTTATCTCATCTGAAGGCTGGACTGGGAAAAGGTATACTTCAACGCTCACTCACGTGGTTTTTGGCAGGCTCCAGTTTCTCACAGGATATTGGACGGAGGACCTCAGGTCCTTGCTGGCTGATGGCCAGAGGCTCCCTCAATTCTTTGCCACAAGGTCTTTCCATTTCTGAAAGAGCGAGGTAGAAACCATGATCTCTTAGAGCAGTGGTTCTCAACCTTCTGGCTCTTTAAATACAGTTCTTCATGTGGTGACCCAACCATAAAATTATTTTCGTTTGCTACTTCATCACTGTCATGCTGCTACTGTTATGAATCGTAATATAAATACCTGATATGCAGGATGGTCTTGGGCGACCCCTGGGAAAGGGTCGTTCGACCGCCAAAGGGGTCGCGACCCACAGGTTGAGAACCACTGTCTTATCGCCTAATCCTAGAAGGAGCATCCTTTAATGTTTGTCACACTCTATTGGTTAGAACTAGATCCAACCTACATGCCAAGGGAGGGAGGGGATTACACAGGGCATGAAGGCCGGAGGATGGGGGCCCTGGGAGCCATCTTTAAGACTGAAGAGCACTATACTTGAGGGGGTGGCTGGCAGACAACCAGCCAGTGAAGAAGCAAGATCAGAGGCAAAAGGGAAAAGTGTGAAAGAGTACAGGGGAGGAGATTCAAGTTTCAGCTAGTAAACAATTTCAAATTCTACCTACAGGTCAAGTTGAATGGGATAGAAAAGAAACTGTGGAATTTGTGAATTGCAGGAGGACATGACTAACTTTTGCCTGAACCATTTTAGGGGACAGATGGGGACAAGAGCCATACAGACCAGTCCTTATTCCTCACCAACTAGCAGGGTTACCATCTTTGCAAGAGGGACTGGTAAAAGCCAGGAAGAACCTCCCCTCCCAGCCTGGGGCTTCCCACTCTCTCCTGACACCTCCCCCAGGAAAGCGACCTCATTTCTCAAAGACAAAACGGATTCTAGGTCATATCCCCCTGGAATGAGAGACCAACTGGTGTGATTATCTCCAAGAGAAAGGGGGCACCTACTAAAAGTAGGACCTGGTGCCCCAGAAGGGAAGACATCAGGGAACCGGAAAAGGGGTCTCTGATAATTACCTGCCAAGATTTCAGAATGAAGGACATCAACGTGCAATAACAAAGGAAAAAAGGAAAGAAAAGCTAGAAGTTTTAGAAGGTTTTTTCTTCCTCATACATCCTGCAGTTTCATTCTATTTAATCCAAGGACAGAATTCTGCTCCCCGTTTTGTAATACTCATAACATAGAATAGGTGGTCCCAGCAAAGATGGCCTCACAAAGGAATTTCTGTAAAACGACCTTCATTATAAAAATCAGAGAGCTGCCCTAACCGGTTTGGCTCAGCGGATAGAGCGTCGGCCTGCGGTCTCAAGGGTCCCAGGTTCGACTCTGGTCCAGGGCATGTACCTTGGTTGCGGGCACATCCACAGTGGGGAGTGTGCAGAAGCCAGCTGATCGATGTTTCTCTCTCATCGATGTTTCTAACTCTCTATCCCTCTCCCTTCCTCTCTGTACAAAATCAATAAAATATATTTTTTAAAAAAAATCAGAGAGCTAATTTCACAAATATTATTCCCCATTGGTCTGAGTTAGACATATTTGAGCATTAGTATATTGGGAGGAGGGAGATGTGTATAAATACATACACACACACACACACACACACACACACACACAGGGGTGGGCAAAAATAGGTTTATGGTTGTGAGTATGTGAAACACAGAGTTTGTTCTTGTGTTATTACTTATTATTTGTTGTATTATTTTCTATACAAACAACTGTAAACCTACTTTTGCCCACCCCTGTATATGGGGAAAGAGTTTCAGGGAATAGCTAGAGTGAAATCAAAACATGTTCAGAATAGATATCTCTGGGTGATGAGATTGCAGATGATTTTTCTTTTCCTCACTATATTTTTCTGGGTTTATGCCAGAAACTAGGCTAGGCAGCATAGATTCAGTGCATACATTACTTTCACAGCATGAAAACAGGCGTATTTGTTAGCTTAAGAGAGGCATTTGAGTTTTTGTAATAGTAAAAAATTTTCCCAGGTTTGGCATATATATATATATTCCTGTAGCATTTTTTTTTTTTTTGAGTGTCATTTCTGTTCAGCCACATGCAGTTAAATGTCTTGGAGAGACTGAGAGCTAATCCCAGCCCGACTATGGTTCCGTCCAGGCACCTGCTGTTTTAGTCTGTTTGGGCTGCTATAAAGAATACCACAGACGGGTGGCTTGGAAACAACAGAAACTTAATTCTCAAAGATCTGGAAGCTGCGAAGTCCAAGATCAAGGTGCCAGCAGACTTAGTGTCTGGTGAGGGCCCACTCACTTCCTGGTTCACAGACAGCTGTCTTCTCACTGTCTTCACATGGCTGAAGGGGCAGGGGAGCTCTCTGAGGTCTCTTTTATAAGAGTGTTAATCCCATCCATGAGGTCTCCACTCTCATGACCTAATTGCCTCTCAAAGGCCCCACCTCCTAAAACCCTCACATTGGGCATTAGAACTTAACATATGAATTTGGGGGGCACACAAGCTTTCAGTCTATAGAATCTGCCAACCCAAGCTGTGATCAGCAGGCTTTGAAAGCAGAAGGTGGTTTGCCTTGTCCACAAACACAGGCTTAGAGTCAAACTAGAGAAAAATGTCCAAAACGGACCATCGAAACCAGGAACCAGAGGAGAGTTTTAGAAGTTGATACAAACTGGGGTTGGAAGATGGAAGTGAGAAGTTGGTGGACTGACAATGGGCAGGGCATATACTGATTTCAATGCTCGGACAATGGTGGTATACACTGGGGTTTGTTGGCATGAATACATTGAACCAATTAAAAGCCAGACTAGGACAGACTACACCTCCACCCATAGCCATAATGAAGTTCACCTCAGACCTATGTTGAAGCCAAAATCATCTTTGTGTAGATCTGACACAAGAGCACAAGGTAGTTTGGCACAACACTACCCAACAGAAATACTCCATACGCCAGGCAGCGAACCAAGACAGCGAAATGCTCCAGTTGGGAAAACGGAAGCACTAAATGAATAAAGCCAAGATGGACGGTTGAGTGCTGAATGTTGTCCCAAGTAAGCCATCTCCCTGGTTCTTTGTGAAACCCTCTGTGCATCTCCTGGTATTAGAAAAGCTCATTCATCTACTCATTCAGTGAATAAAAATGAAAAGTAAGCACTTAGCAGCAGTTCTCAACCTGTGGGTCACGACCCCTTTGGCGGTCGAATGACCCTTTCACAGGGGTCGCCTAAGACCATCCTGCATATCAGATATTTACATTACGATTCATAACAGTAGCAACATTACAGTTATGAGGTAGCAACGAAAATAATTTTATGGTTGGGTCACCACATGAGGAACTGTATTTAAAGGGCCAGAAGGATGAGAACCACTGACTTACAGGGTGCTTACTCTCCGTCAGCCGCTGTTTAAGCACTTCACTCTTATTAACTCATTTAACCCATGCCACAATCCCATTATCCTAGTTGACGGGTAAGGAGACAAGGGACACAGAGAAGTCAAGTGACTTTCCCAAGGTCACACAGATGGCAAATGTCAGAATTATAATTTGAACCCAAGTTGTCTGGCTCTAGGATCTTGACCATGGTTTGAGGCACCTACCAAATACCCAAGAAAGAAGCCACTGCTGAGAGGAAAGGAGGTGGAGAATTAGGGGGGCGGGACAGAGTGGGGAATAAGAGAGAGTAGTTGTCCCTTTTTTCTTCCCCAGACTCTAGCCTGCTCCCTATGGTGGAGGGATTCCCCATATGAGTCTCAGTGGGAAACTGTTTTTCTTCCTCCATGGAAACAGGAAGTTCAGACAGGACTCTGTATTTCTTTGAATTTTTTACTGTGATTCTGATGGTGAGATCATCTTTTCTGTTTCTGGCGCTGGAAATCTTGAGTGATGGGAGAGAGCGAGGCTTAGATATACTGCTAAGGGAAGACCCCTTGAAGATGGCGATGTTTGCGCTGGGTTCTGAAGATTGAGCACGAGCCAGCCATGGGAGGAACAGGGAAAGGAGTATGCCAGGCAGAGGGAACAGCAAATCCAAAGCTTTGAAGGGAGGAAGAGCTTAGCGTGTCCTAAGAGCAGGACAAAGGCCCGTGTTGCTGCAGGGTACGAAATAAAGGGAAAAATTTAAAAAAAAAAAAAAAGTAACAGGGAGAGGCGGGTAAAATGAGGCCCTCTTTCTCCAGGAGCTAGGATTCCAAGCCACCTCTGCAGAGCTCCAAAGGCTCCATCTAGCGCCTCCCTGCCGCCTTCCCCCTCCTCCACCTCTGGAACTCCGACGCGCTCTCCTGTCACCGCGGTCATTGTGATGAGGACTCTGCTTCACTCACGCTTCAGGACTGGAAAGAAGTGCGTGTAGTTGAGTGTCCCTGCCTCTCCCCGTGTAGGACGCGGCCCAGGCAGGGCACCAAGCAGGGGGCCATGCCCGTGCTGATACCCCCGATTGAGCAAAGCCAGAGCTCGCGCGTCGGGGCCCGGGAATGGCGCGAGGAGGCCCAGGCCAAGATGTTGGAGGCGCAGCAGCTGACCGACCGCTGCGGGCAGGAGGCCGTGGCCATGTGGCAACCCAAGGACAGCGTGTGGGACCCGAACGTGGCGCGCCACCTCTGCAAGGCCGCCTACATCCAGCCCTGGCGCTTCCACGTGCAGTTGCTCCAAGATGGGGGCACCTTGGAGACGCCGCCGCCGGGCGAGGGCGTCACGCTGTGGAAGAGCAAGATGAAGCCGCCGGCCTGGCACGCGCGCCTGCCGCTGCCCCTGAACCGCGACGCGCGCGCCCTGCAGACCGTGGATCTGGTGCAGGCGCACGTGCGCGGGGCGCGCCTCACCGCCGCGCGCCTGGGCCGCGCGCAGCAGCAGATCAATGGGCAGCTGCAGCTGCTGCAGCGCCAGCGCCAGGCCACCGACCACAGGCTCAGCGAGGTGCGCAAGGGCCTGCTCATTAACCAGCAGAGCGTCAAGCTGCGGGGCTACCGGCCCGAGTCGGAGAAGGTGGGAGACCCCTCCCCCACCCGAGCCCAGTCGCCAAGACCGAAGCCTTGTTTAGCTCGCCCTGGGAAAAACCCGCCCCGCAGAGAGAGCACCCATCCCGGGCCCCAGTTCCAGTGAGCAAGGGCCCGAGAAGATGAGGACACCCCCAAGATGAGGTGCCTTGGTCCCCAGCCCAGGGAAGGAGATCACCCCCTCCTCCCCTGTGGGGGGATGAGAGCCTCAGTCCCCTTATCCCAGATGGGATGTCTCCCAGTCCGTGTCCCCCCCCCCCCCCCCCCCCCGTGAGGGAGAGAAGATGGAAGATGAGAAACTCACAACCCCCAACCCAGGCATGCAGTCACCCACCCAGCCCCCAGGCCCGGGTGAGACCTGCCTGTGGCCCTGAGACCCTCAATGCCACGCCCAGTGAAAGGTGCAGCTGAGAAGAGTGGGTGATGTCCTGGTCCCAACCCATGAAACTGTCCTCAAAATGTTTATAAAAACAAAAACAAAACAAACAAAAACTGTCCCCAGCCCCAGTGAGTGAGAAACCCTCCCCAGGCCTCATGGGAAAATAAAGGAGCAGGTCCTGCCTACAGGTTGAGACCCTCAGACTCCCAGCCCCCACACCCAAGAGCTAATCCCCGCCAGGGAGAGAGAGCTCCTACCTAGTCCCAGTCCTATGAAACCTCCCTCCCAGTGAACCCCTAGACTTGAACCCCAAAGCGGGAACATTATAGCCTCCCTGGGGAGGGACCCCACGCACAGGGTGGTCTTCCTAGTTCCAGCCCTGAAATTCAGAGAGTAAGACCCCAAAAAGGCAAGCTCTCATCATCCCTATAATGAAATTCCTCACTACTGGCCAGGGAGGTGCGTGGGGGGGGGGGGTACCGCAAGGAAGGGGCACCCCCAGCCCTAGCTCACTGACTCCTACCTGTAAAAGGGAGATACCCAGCCCCACTCTCTAGCCCCCCTGAAAGGATAAAGTCTTCTCAGAGAGACCCCTGACGCCATCCCCGAAACCCAGAGTTTATGAGGTTGGCAAACCTCTCCCACCCTGGAAGGAGAGCTCTCCTGTGGACCCTCCTGGGCGTGAGAGAGTCTCTCCTCGCTTTCCAGATCCCTGACAAAGCCGACAGTATGCTTACCCTGGAGAGAGAGAAGTTAAAGAGCATGAAGAGGAAAATGGAGGAAGACATGGAAAAATCAGAGGTCATGCTCAAGGTCGGGAATACCTGGGACCCAGGGAAGAGGGCTGGAGGGGTACCCCTGGCTGCCTAAGGAGCGAACCGCTCTGACCTTAGGGACCAACAACAACAAACCTCTCAGCCCACCCACCACTCACTCTGACTTGACACTCACTGGGTTTCCGCTTTGCTCTGCGGGATGGAGTTGGGCCTCAGAATAACAGTGGACACCCTCTCTGTGCCAAGCCCTGTGCAGTCCTTGAGTCAGCTCCTGTAAGCACTCCTGTGAAGCAGAAACTGCGGTCTCTTATTGGAGGTGGGGAAACTGAGGCTCAGAGAGAGATGCCCCCCACCACCACCACCACCACCCAGGCACAGGACTAGCCAGGGGCAGGATTGGGGTTTTAGGTCAAGTATCCTTTTCTCCCCAGCTTTAGTGAGGTATAATTAACAATTTTAAATTGTACATATAGCCTGGCTGGCATGGCTCAGTGGTTGAGCATCGACCTATGAACCAGCAGGTCACAATCACCACAATTAAGGTGTACAGCACCTTACATAGTTACTATGCTGTGTGGTGAGAACACTTACCATCCACCCTTTAAGCAAATGTCAATTATAAAATACAGTATTGTTAACTATAGGCACATTGCTATACACTAGCCCTTCAGAACTTACTCATCTTGCATAACTGAAACTTTGTACCACTTGACCAACCTCTCCCCATTTCCCCCTCCCCTCAGCCCCTGGCAACCACCCTTCTACTCTTGTCTTCTGTAAGTTTGATTATGTGCTGGGGTCCAACCCCAGCAGGTCCAGGGGTCCCCAAAGGTGTGGACGGAGTCGGCGAAGAAGGAACGACACAGAGGCAGCGTTCAGTTGATCAGCATAGTTGGGTTCTCCAGCCAGGTTCTGTTGATCAGCATAGAGAGGTTCTCCTGCCAGGTTCTATCCAGGATCTCCGGCCAAGTTCTGTCCAGGATCTCCAGCCAAGTTCTGGTTAGGATCTCTAGCCAGGTTCTGTGTCCACGTTCTCTTGCTAGGTTCTCCAGCCAGGTTCCCCAGCCAGGTTCGGTCACCAGATTCTGTAGCCAGGTTCTTCAGCCAGGTTCTGGCTAGGTTCTCCAACCAAGTTCTGTAGCCAGGTCCTGTCCAGGATCTTTTGCCAGGTTCAGTCACCAGGTTCTAGTCAGGTTCTCTTGCCATGTTCTATCCAGGTTCTATAGCCAGGTTCTGTCTCTAGGTTCTTCAGCCAGGTTCTCTTGCTAGGTTCTGTCTCTAGGTTCTGTGGCCAGTTTCTGTCCAGGATCTTTTGCCATGTTCTCTCCAGCGAAGTTCTTCTGTCTCTAGGTTCTGTGTAGGTTCTGTGTCTAGGTTCTGTGTCCTGTTGTCTTGTTACATCTGTATTTATACCAGTTGATTCCAATCCTATCAATCTCTATTCCAAAGGTTAGGGCGTTTCTTATCTCCATTCCAGGGAGTAAAGATTATGTAGCTTTAAGCATGATTGTTCATAGTTAAAGTGATTAATTACCCACCTGGCACTTAGTTAAGGGGTTTTATTCCCTCCCTAACTTCAGGGGAAAATCCCTACCTGGGGAAACAACCTTTCTCAAAGAGGTGACCTTGGTTAAAACACATAGTGCCAAGAAGGTGAGCAAACATATTAAGAACAGTATGCCATATATGCCAGGTCCCTTGAAACAGCAAGGATGGACCAGCTCCCGGCAATTATGTTAGATTCCATATATACCAGTAAGTGAGATCATGTAGCATCGGTCTTTAAGCATCTGACTTATTTCATCCATGTTGTCACAAATGGCAGGATTTTCTGCTTTTTAAAAGCTAAATGTATATATACTAGAGGCCTGTTGCACAAAAAGATTCATGCAATAGGCCTTCCCTTCCCCTGGCTGCCGGCACTGGTTTCCCTCTGGCACCCGGGACCCAGGCCTTTGCTCCAGCCAGAGCCGCCTTCATGTGCGCCTATGTATGCAAATTAACCGCCATCTTTGTTGGCGATTAATTTGCATATCTTGCTGATTAGCCAATGGGAGACGTAGTGAATGTATGGCCAATTACCATGTTTGTCTATTATTAGATAGGAGATATATACACACACACACACACACACACACTAGAAGCCCAATGCACAAAATTTGTGCAAGGGGCTCAGCCCTCACAGCCACAGCTTCACAAAGGTCGTCCAGAAGGATGTCTGGAAGGTCGTTCGGCTGCCCAGTCTACTTAGTATATTATGCTTTTATTATTATAGATATATGCTTTATTTTATAATGGTGGAAATAGGATTTGGATGAGGCGAAGGTCCAGATGCAGTAGATCAGAGAGAGGGACTCAGGACTGCAGAGGGCTCCTGAGTCTCATTAGAGAAGAGATAGTGTGACTGAGGCTAGGGATGAGGCGAATGCAAGTTGAGGAGGAAACGGATGGCACAGGAAGACGGAAATGGGGCTCCCTCTCCACTGTCCAGAGAGGGAAGTCGATGGGGGCGGGGCTTTCTCAGGGTGCCAGGGCAAAGCCAGACACAGAACCTAAGCAATGGACACCCAGGACAGGGAAGCGGCCACCAGGCCCTGCTGCTCCTACTCTCCCCACTCCCAGGGTCATGAAGGCTCCTGGACAGAGGGTGAGAGGGTGGGGTGACTGAACTTGGGCTTGAAAATCGCTTCTTTTCAGCCGCAATTAGAACCAAAGAGGGTCAGTTCAGAGGCAGAAAGGCTTTTCAGCCCCCAGCAGAAAAATCCATTCCAGCCACCCCCTCCCTCCCAGCACGCTTCCTGCCCTCAGCTCGGCCTCTCTCCCTCTCCTCACCCCCAGGCCCTGGCCTCCTGCCGAGACACCCTAGCCTTCTGCTGCAAGGAGAGGCTCCAAGCTGTGGACTTAATGAACAAGCCCCTGGACAAGGTTCTGGAGCTGGCCGGCCGCCACTCCTGGGTGGACCTCTCCCGCATCCCCACCCCCAGCACTCAGGGTCTGAAAACGCCTCCTTCAGACCCTGTGGGCGCATACACACCAGGTAGGCCCCTCAGAGAGGAGTCCACTGTAGTGGGTGCCCACCCTCTCCCCTCCACTTCTCAGCTGCCCCTTTTCCTGGAGCCTTGTCCCCAGCGGTTCTCAACCTCTGGGTCGCGGCCCCTTTAGTGGTCGAACGACCCTTTCACAGGGGTCGCCTAAGACCATCCTGCATATCAGATATTTACATTACGATTCATAACAGTAGCAACATTACAGTTATGAAGTAGCAACGAAAATAATTTTATGGTTGGGTCACCACATGAGGAACTGTATTTAAAGGGCCAGAAGGTTGAGAACCACTGCACCTAGAGCCAGTGATGGCGAACCTTTTGAGCTCGATGTGTCAGCATTTTGAAAAACCCTAACTTAACTCTGGTGCTGTGTCACATATAGAAATTTTTTGATATTTGCAACCATAGTAAAACAAAAACTTATATTTTTGATATTTATTTAATGCCATTTACCAAGGCCGCCATAAAGAAAGGGATGCAGCCCTAGCCCGTTTGGCTCAGTGGATAGAGCTTCGGCCTGCAGACCAAAGGGTCCCCGGTTCAATTCCTCTCAAGGGCATGTACCTCGGTTGCAGGCTCCTCCCCCAGCCCGGGACCTGATCAGGGCTCCTGCAGGAGGCAACCAATCCATGTGTTTCTCTCACATGATGCTTCTCTGTCTTTCCCTCTCTCTCTTCCACTCTCTCTAAAAAAAGTCAATGGAAAAATATCCTCGGGTGAGGATTAACAACAACAACAACAAAATAAACAAACAAAAGGGGGCGGGAGGGGGGGGCGAGGAGGGCTTGGCACCCACGCCGGTCCCACCCCCTGCAGAGTGCGCCGCGGCGCTGAACGACGCCAAGCGCCTGCTGATGGAGTCCAAGGACGCCTTACAGGAAATGGCCAAGAACGAGGAGGACATCCGGGAGCAACAGCTGGAGATAAGCGATGGCGTGTGCTCCTCGCTGGCCCAAAAGATGCGCGAGACCACGGAGCTGAAGGTGCAGCTCGGAGGTGGTGGCTGGGGCCAGGGTGGGAGAGGACCAAGGCCGAGGAGGGGGGCGGGGGGCGCACGGGAAGAGAGCGGACGGGGAGCCGGCGTGACCCCCCGCCCCCCCGCGCTCCCACCCACCCAGGAAAGAATGAACATGACCGTAGGACTGATGAGGGGGACTATCCACCGGTGCACGAAATTCAACCAGGAGATGTACATCACCCGCGGCCTCATCAAGGTGCGGTTTGGGGGCGCAGGGTCTGCGGGGAGGAGGCCGGGCAGGGATGCGCGCACACAGAGGGCCTCACCGCTCCGCGCCCCGCCCTTCGCCAGGGTCCTCTGTCCAAAACTCACCTGGAGACTCGGGAGAAACTGGACCGACCCCTGGTCCGCGTGTACCAGAGACACGTGGGCACCCAGCTCCCGGAGGCCGCGCGCCTCACCCAGGTACGCCCCTCTCGTTCCCCTGGGTAAGACTTCTGCCCCAGGGACACGCAGCCCAGGGAAGAGCCTGTCACCCGAGTTGTCAGTCCTTCCACGACCTCCCAAATGAGTCCCCTCGACCCCTGTCCCCCGCACCCGCCCCACTCACTCGTGATCCGGCTCCTCTCTCAGCCCCGCCCTGTCGCTGGTTATTTTTCTTCTGGCCCAGGTGTGCCCCCTCACCCACCCACCCCCCATCCGAGGCCCACCGTTTCTTCCGCTTGCTCCTTTCACACGCACATCTGGCCCAGATGTGCCTGCCCTCCTCCTCCTCCTCCCTCCTCCCCACCTCCCCCCACCCTTTTTCTGGCTCCTCTTGGGCGGTCCCCCAACCCGGCCGCCCGCTCCCCAGGGCACTGACAAGCTGCAGCGCCACATCTCGCACGTGGAGAAGAACCTGGAGGATCTGCACACCACGCACAGGAACCTCACCCGCAGCCTCAACTGCAAGAGGATCGGGCACGAGGTGGACTACAACGTGGTGCGCCTGCGCCTCCGCCAGAGGCACCCGCACGTCAACTACCAGCAGGCGCAGTGCCTGGTCAACGACTGGGACCCGCGCACGCCGCCAAAGACCGGGACCCGCCCACAAACTCAGCAGCCAAAAGGGGACAGCAAGGCAGCCAAGTAGCAGGCGCACCCCCTCCCCCCTCCCGCCACACACACACACACACACACACACACACACACACACACACACCCCACCCCATGGCAGGTTCCCTGGGAAACTCTCAGCCTGGTGACCCTCCCTCTCCCCTGGCTCACCCTCCGTCCGAGCGCCCTCTAGCGGAATTATAATTAAAAAGAACAATCATTACATTTATTCGACATCTCCTGTTTGTCTATCATTTACCCTACGGCACGTTGGGAGCGGTGTATCCTGCAAGTCAACTGGATGGATTTGAGTACCAGGTTTCTGGGGGTTCAAAGCCTGCCTTTCCAAGCTATGTGGCCTCAGGTGACTCTGCCGGTAACCAGGAAGAATGGCAGCACCCGCCTCAAAGGCTTGTAAGGACAGAGGAGTTCCCATGTGGGAGGCCTGTGGAATGGTGACTGCGTATTCAATACCCTCAGTGCACTGCGTCATTATCACCCTCATTTTCCAGTTGCGGGAACAGGCACAGTGAGGTCAAGCAGCTTCCCCTGAAGCCCCCTCTCTAGTGGAGACTTATGCTCCCAGACCCCAAGCAGCTCAAATGCAAAGTTGGGGCTGAGTTCCACTGCCCTTTGCTCCATTTAGCAAGAGGGGTTGGGGGTGGGGGGCGAGGGTGGAGACAGCTCCTTCAAAATCCATAGCTTCCTTCCTTCCTTCCTTCCTTCCTTCCTTCCTTCTTCTTTTTTTTTTTTTTTTTTTTTTTTTCCCTCCTACGAAGTTTCAGGCTCTGAGCCAGGCACTGAGAGTGCAACAGTGAGCAAGATTGCCGTGGCCCCTGATCTCAGGGAGCTCACAAGTAGACCAAGTGCAGCCAACATCATCCTTTTGGATGCAGCTGCAGCTTGGCCTCTTACAGGAAGCCCACCAGCTGCAACCACCCACCCAGCTTCTCCTCTCCGTTCTCCTAGCCTGTGGACACCCTCCCATCACACCAAGCTGTCATAATCTGCTCTCCATGGGGAGGTCTCAGGGTGTGGCCTACGTCGGATAGACCGTGTTCAATCGAGCCACGGATATTTCCTAAGCAACTGTGCTCTAGAGGCTGTGTTCAGTGCGGAGGATACACTGAGGACCAACAGAGGCATGGCCCCTCCCTCATGGAACTGACCACGTATATGCGGAGAATGGCCCTCACAAATATTACCCTTTTGGCAGAGCCAACCAGTCACATGGACACAGCATAGCCCTGCCAACATTTTACAGAGACCGCAATGAAGTCCAGGAAGGTGAACTCATTTGCCCAGGGTCACAGAGCCAGAGAGGAAGTGGGACCAGATCTGGGTCTGCACTCTCCCTTGCTCCACACTGCAAGCATCGGCCATGGGCTCACCAGGATTTCACTGGTCTCCTTAACAACCGTGAAGGTGGCGTTAATTCTGCCCATTGGACAGGAAATACACAGAAAATAAGTAGCTTCCTACCCAGGATCACAGAGATGAGAAGGAGTAGGGCTGAGGGGTTCAAATGAACCATCTCTGACTCCAAACCATTAGGCATCACAGCCATTTTCCTTATCTCAAGAGGGACTTCACAGCCTGAGGGTCGCCAGGGGCTCCTGAGGGTCAAGAACGTTCTTCCTGCCCTGGCTGGTTTGGCTCAGTGAGTAGAGCTTCCGCCTGCAGACTGATGAAAGGTCCCAGGTTTGCTTCTGGTTAAGGGCACATGCCCAGGTTGCAGGCTGATCCCCAGTAGGGGGATGCAGGAGGCAGCCAATCAGTGATTCTCTCTCATCATTGATGTGTCTACCTCTCCCTCTCCTTTCCTCTCTGAAATCAATAATATATATATTTTTTTTTAAATGTTCTTCCTCTCTGTACCAATCAGGATACCTACCAACAGGAAGCAGATATATGTCAACTATAATTTTTTTACAACCAAGCCTCATTTTTGAGGTCTACCTAGTGCCATGTTTTTTCATATGTTTGTTGTTTTCGTTGGTAATTTTGCTGTTTAAAATGTTTCCTAAGCATGTTTCTGAAGTGCTCTATAGTATTCCTCAGGCAAAAAGGCTGCGATGTGCCTCACAGAGAAAATGATGTGCTAGACAAGCTTCCTTTGGCCATGAGTTATAATTCTGTTGGCCTTAAGTTTAATATTAGTGACTCACAATAATAATACATTTTTGAACAGTGTGTATTAACTAAGGCATCTTTAAACAGAAACACACAAAACAAGGTTATGGCCCTAGCCGGTTTGGCTCAGTGGGTAGAGCATCAGCCTGTTGGCTGAAGGGTCCCAGGTTCAATTCCGGTCAAGGGCATATGCCTGGATTGCAGGCTCGGTCCTCAGTGGGGGGGGCGTGCAGGAGGCAGCTGATCAATGATTCTCTCTCATCATTGATGTTTCTATCCCTCCCTCTCCCTTCCTCTCTGAAATCAATTTAAAAAGAAAGAAGGAAAGAAAATATATATCTTTAAAAAAACAAACAAAAAAACAAGGTTATATGTTGAGCAGTTGACAAAAATGTTATGACAAAGGAACCTATCCCTTACAGTATTTCCTCTGGGAGCAATGGTTGCTTATTTGGGCAACTTTATAGACTGTAACAACAGTGAATAATGAGAATTGCCTATATTTGCGAAGGCATAGGCAGGATGTAGGGACAGTTCCAAGCTACTAATAATTGTGGGGAGCTGCCTTTCCTTTGGTAAGTCCAAAGGGACAAAGTAGTCAGAAGCAGGCAGCCTGGCAATATCCCCTCTCTCTCCGTTGGTCAGTGTTCCCTACTGTTCAAAGCCAGAGAGAAAGGAGCCCATTGGTGCAGGCCACATCTCCTCCCAGGACACAGAGCTGCCGCCTCCACCTACTGACTTTTGAGCCTCTTGCAGGTCATTTCTGGGGCTGGGAGTTGTCACTTTGCCTGAATCTTTGTCCATCCATTCTTCCCAGGAACCTCTCATGGGGATGCAAATGCTCCCCTCTGGACAATGTCTTGCCTCTGATTGAACCGGCCCATTTGTCACCACAGTCACCCAGTGTTCCCCAACAGCATTTGCACAACCCGCTTCATTGCCTCAGAGCTGAGGTTTCAGCTGCTGCCCCAGGCTGAGTTGTGGGCACCCAGGGAGCCTCTCAATGATACCATAAGGTGGGTGTCATCATCCCTACACAGAAGATGAAGAAATAGACTCCACAAGTGGAAAAATTTCAAAAGCCACCCATCAAATGAGGGGGTCAAGTCAGGACTTTAAAAAGTGTGGGGTGCCCCCACCTGTGGATATGCCACTGCCCCCAAGGAATGGTCCAGGTACCATCTTCCTGAGAACACCTCCTGGGCCACCTTCCAGGCCTACAGAATCTGAATCCCAGTGGGCAGAGCTGAGGGCTGTGCATTTCTAATGAGCTTCCCAGGGAAGTCTGATGCATGCCAATGTTTGAAATGCGTTTCCTGGGAGGAATATGGGGACATCTGTAATCGTGTCAACAATAAAAAGAAAGAAAAAAGAAATGCCTTTCCGCCCTGCTGCCAACTTCCCAGGGCCGATTTCTGCACTAGCCACAGTAGACACTAATGGGGGGGGGCTGGCACAAATGCCTTCATTTTAATATTTTTTTTAGATTCTTTTTTCTTAATATGTTTTTATTGATTTTAGAGAGAGAAAGGGAGAGGGAGAGAGAGATAGAAACATCAGTGATGAGAGAGAAACATCATCGATCAGCTGCTTCCTGCACGCCCCCTGCTGGGATTAAGCCCTCAACCTGGGCATGTGCCCTGACTGGGAATCCAGCTAGTGATCTCTTAGTTCATGGGTCGATGCTCAACCACTGAGCCACACCGACCAGGCATTTTAATTTCTTTTAAAGTCAGAAAAAACATGAATATATAACATGGAACTATAATTTATTTTTATAATATATCATAGTTTATCATGCAATATAATTGTATAATTATATACATTAATAATTGTATAAGAATCTGAATATTAAAATTATATTTATCTTTATACCAATGCAGTTTTTATCAATATATTCAATTGTGGTAAAATACACATAACATAAAATTTACCATCTTAAGCATTTTTAAAAATATTTTTTTTTATTGATTTTAGAGAGATGAAGGGAGAGGGAGAGAAACATAGATTAACTGTGTTCTGCACGCTCCCTACTGGGGATTAAATCTGCAACCTGGGCATGTGCCCTGACCCGGAATTGAACCAGCGACCTCTTGGCCCATGGGGCGATGCTCAACCAACTGAGCCACACCAGCTAGGGCTTAAGCATTTTTAAGTGCCCAGTTCAGTGGCATTAAGTACATTTATATTGTTGTGCAGCCATCACCACAGTCCATCTCCATAACTCTTTATCTTGCAAAACTGAAACTCTGTTCTATTAAAAACTAGCTCCCCATCCTCCTGCCCAACCCCTGGCAACTACCATTCTACTTCCTTTCCCTATGATTTGACTACTCTAGGGACCACATATAAGTTATACTGATGCAGTTTTAAAATAATTTTTAAATATTTGTATGAAGGGGCTCACAAAGTCATTCAATTAGTCATTCAGTAACATCAACTGAATCCAGCCACTATGCTAAGCTGTAGGAGCAGGCATATAACAAACACTGGGTAAACATTTGTTACATGAATTAATAAACAAATAAACAGTTAACTTTAAATTTGCAGAGTGTTTCTGTGTGCATTGCCTTATTTTTTTTCACACCAACAAAAACAATAATCCTATATAATAAAAGTCTAATATGCTAAGTGTCCAGTTGGCCGTTCAATCAATCAAAGCGTTAATATGCTAATGATATGCTAAGGCTGCTCAACCACTCCCTATGATGTGCACTGACCACCAGGGGGCAGACAGTCAACCAGTTGACCAGTCACTATGACATGCACAGACCACCAGGAGGCAGAGCTCCGACCGGTAGGTTAGCTTGCTGCTGGGGTCCAGTCAGTTGGGACTGAGTGAGATGGGCCGGACACACCCTGGAGCCCTCCCTTGGTCCCTCCTTGGCTGGCCAACCTCCCATG